AGACAGCATGTTAATGCTGAGCTAGCCAAGAACCCAGAGTGCACCAGGTAACAAACAGATGAGCCGTCAGGCTGCAGCCTCCTCTACCTGTTCAGAATCACCGTGGCGACCGCTTTTTGTGCTGGTTTTCATTTTTGCGTTGTACCAAGACAGGGGTGAGCAACTCCAGGCCTCGAGGGCCGGTGTCCACGATCCAACACAGCTGATTCAAATGGCTAAATGACCTCCTCAACCTGTCTTGTAGTTCTCCAGGGGCCGGGTAATTAACTAATCATTTGATTCAGGTGTGATATCTAAAACCTGCAGGACACCGGCACTCGAGGCCTGGAGTTGCCCACCCCTGTACTAAGAAAAAGACCTGAGAGAGGTGCGTGCTGCTATGTGGGGCTGTAGCCTCATGGTTATATCGTTAGATGGTGATTATAAGCGCTTCAGATCATTTTACAGAGGAACATGAAAGTAACGAATAGTAGAACGAAGTGTTCTGTGTAATATGTTACCGAGTACAAAGAAGAAGGAAACCTCAGCACGCTCAAACATGCGACCCACAGCGTGTGATTCATTTACATGACTGTAATGTCTTAGTGATGCTGGTGAAAAACAATCCATAAGAGAATCAATACTGGAATCGCTAAATTCCTATCAGTTCCCATCCCTGGCCAGCTGATGACATAATGTTAAACTGCAACATGAAATGTGGACCTCGGCATCCATGCACAGAAACATCGCTCAGCTGGAAATGAATCCGCAGTAATCCTTATGACAGGCAGGCAGCTGAACACTCTGAAATCTGACTGTCAGAGCAGCACCTGAACAGAGCGTCGTAAATAAAGCAGAGTCCATCATTATTTTAATTTCACAGCTGTCAGTTTACCTTCTTATAAATATACATCATCTTTTCTAAAGAAAGCTCGTTTGTATAAATATGAAGATGCATTTGTGGTTTCCCTGTAAACGTCAAGCTACACCACTCCGTGCGGATGCTTCAGATTATAAAGATGAAGCGTTTAAATGCTGGCGGACATGTTCTCCCCTTTTATTGTTTCATATGACATATTTATTTTAATCGTAGACACGAAAAGGCGTTTTGATATTCACATATGTGCACACAACAAGAACATCTCCACACTGAAGGTTAAAATGTACGCTGACAGCCTGCAGTTACCCGCTGATAAACCTTAAAAGGGGCGCACTCCGAACTCCATTGAAGAAATCTCCGTTTTAACGTTGGTGTTAAATTTCCCGGGATGGCGAAGGAAACCCTTCAGATCGTTTAGCGGCCGGTAACGGCAGGCTGTGCCGCTGTTTTCGGCAGCCTCGTGTGTCCCCCCAGTTATTTGTACCTGGACGGGAGGACTGATGTTTCTACCCAGTCACGTAGGTTTCGGCGCCGCTCACGAGAATGGTATTTATCGACGACAGCGACACATAAAAACGCTAAAAAGGTTCGTTTGTCTTACACGAAGCTTCCTTATGGGTGAGCCGAATTGAAGGGCGGCTCCTCGGCTCTCACTGTGGACAGTACACCGCAGCTCAGGCGGGAAAGACGGGAGCGGTCAGCGCCAGGAGCGAAAACCGGGATTTCTGACGGCTGCTTCGGAGCTAGCCGTTAGCAGCTGCTGCTAGCGCTGCCGCAGCGGTCAGCCACCGCTGCTGCAGTGCGGACGGACGGACTCACGGGCAGAGCGCGGACCGCTGCCGGTGTTCCCCGGCCCCGCGGACAGGCCGCTGGCTCCCGGCGAGGATTCCTCCTGGACCGCGAGCCTCACCGTCGATCCATCGGGGCGTCAGGACCGGACCCTCCGTCTTCACCGTTCGGTGCCAAGATGTCTGCGCCGCGGCGGAGCTCCGCGTAAGCTGACGGAGCCCCGCCGGCCGCGTCCCACTCAGAGCACCGCCTTCCTCCCCCGGGACACTCCCTGCCCTGCGGGACCCCAGCGGCTCCCTGTGCCAGCGGCCCGGGGCCTGGTGTCGGTGTGGTTCGAACACCGGCGCGTCCCGGACCCCGCCGTGCCCGCTCCCGGAGCCCGAGGCGGCAGCTGAACGGTTTGGGACGCGTCCCAGCAGAAAAGAGCGAACCGTGAACGCGAGCCAGTGACGTCACCGTCCGGGCCCAGACATCAGGGGTCCCCAAAGACCAAGGTTAGGCTTCAGGGTGACCGTGGGAGAACGTGTTCACCAGAGGCGGAGCCAGACATTTGAAACACCCGGGGCTTAGCCCTAAAGGGTAGTATGTATGTGGGATTTTTTTTTTTTTTTTTTTGGGGGGGGGGGGGGGGGGGGGGGGGTTTAGCAATGACTGAAAGATTAATTGGCTCTGTTTTGAGTTTTGTTAAAAAAAATGACTTCATATAGGGAAAAATATATATCACATGTGCAGGACACCTTAAACTAGTTTTTTAATTAAGCAGCGAGGCAGAACAAAGTCAGGGCTGTATCAAGACACAAGGCCTAAACCCCAATTCAACCAGACCCAGAACTGATCCGGAATTAATAATGATAATGAATTGGATTTATATAGCGCTTTTCAAGGCACCCAAAGCGCTTTACAATGCCACTATTCAGTCACACACTGGTGGAGGCAGCTACAGTTGTAACCACAGCTGCCCTGGGGCAGACTGACAGAAGCGAGGCTGCCATATCGCACCATCAGCCCCTCTGGCCAACACCAGTAGGCAAGTAGGGTAAAGTGTCTTGCCCAAGGACACAACGACCAGGACAGAGAGCCCAGGGATCGAACCGGCGACCTTCCGGTTACAGATGCGATTCCCAACCCCCTGAGCCACAGCCAAGTGCAAAATCAGGACTACTGAGGACTTAACCAAGACAGAACCAGAATCAGAACTAGATGATAGCAGCACTAAAAATCATCATAGACCTGCACTACACTTATTTTTTTAATTCTACCAAAGTTTATATAATTATTTAGCCTTGTTGTGCAAACAAGCTGCAGAACTTAATAAATATACACGAGGTACGAGATACATGAGGACCTGTGATACGCTGATACTTCTGGTAAACAACCATTTGACTAACATGTGAGTCTCACCTGCTCTTGTTCCCTCTCTTCCTCTTTGTGCTGACAATCATCAAATACACAGTTATACAGATATTTACAAACTCTTCAGATAAAAACACTTTTTTTAATTGTAACATCAAATCAGACTAAATGTTTATTTTTTAGATAAATATAAAAACATATTTGTTAACTTTAAGAGTAAAGAGAGAAACTGTCTGTATTTCTTGTAAATGGCACCAAATTGTATTCAAACTGAGCCACACTTATGGAGCTCCACAGTTCTGTTCCTGGTGTTTGGTTGACATCTCTTGATGTTCCCATGTCACAGAAACAGCCTCTGTGTTTTGCCTTATATGCATCCACAGCTGTGCCACCAGTTTACTCACATGGACTCTACGAACCAATCAGAAGCTTCTTCAGCTCAGGATGGAATCGTCTGGAGTTTCTTATTAATTTACAATAAACTTAGTGTATATGTGCTCCTACATTTGATGAAAGTGATAAAAATAGAAGCTCTGTCTCTCTTTATTCTGACATTTAACTAATTCAAAAGATGTTTCAATATTTATCTAAAACAAAAGTTGACTCTAAATTGATGTTGTACAGTAAAAACTGTTCTTGTGTTTTCCATAAAGTGTAAATATCTGGTTTCAGCTGTGAATATCCTGCTGTGTACTGAAGTTCCTCTTGTTTTGCATAGAAATATACTGAACAACATACAAAGCTTAATATATAAAATAACATCTGCCAGAGTTTTTTCTTTGAAAGAAGCTCCTTATGTCCATGCTTGTACATCAGTGCATTACTGAAACCAGTTTAGAGAGTTTATTTAGCCGTGGAGGGAAACAACTGAAAATATGAAATAAACACATGTGAGCTGAGACTCTCTAAAGAAACAGCTTTGTTGTTGTTCGGCTTTTCATTTCGCCATTTGTTGATTCACTTGAAGAACAAGTAACGTAATATGGGTCAAGTGATCAGTTTGATATCAATCTTTAGTGATGCACCGTCATATTTACATTATCTGTACAGTACGAATGATTTGCTTTGGTACCTGCTCAAACTTCAGCTCTCCTCTGTCTGCGCTTCTCTAACAGCGCACTCACAGGCAGCAGCTGCCCCGCCCCGGTTAGTGCCTGAGCTCGGATCATACCAATATCAGGGGGGATTCACGCACAGTCGTAAATTCCCACAGTGTGCACTATGTGCTTCGAATATTGTGTGTACTTTTTGTTTTATACAGTTGTCAGCCAGACATCTAACTATGAAGAAATTACACTCCAAAAGACCCCGGGCTTCTGACAAAACAACCCGGGCTTAAGCCCCCCCCGCTCCACCACTGGTGTTCACTACAACGCAGTAATGAAAGAGGCGTGTTTTGTTTCTGAGTGGAAAAGTTCAGATTGAAGCTCTTCGGGGTCACCTGACACAATTCTCTGTTTTTACATGTTCTAGATTGTTTTTTCAAATAATAAGATAACCTTTATTGGTCACACACGTGGAAAATATTTCCTAGTCTTTGACTTTTACACTACCGGTATAAATGAATAAGTTACTTTATTATTTTTATTCATGTGGATATTGAACATGTATGTCTATAAATGCACATCACATGAAAAATAACACGTTTATTTTGTTTTAAAAATAAACTTGTGATATTTATGTCATATGCACTATATCCACATGAATAAAAAATAACAAAACAATTCTGACCAGCTCTGCCCTACATTATACATGCTTCCCTTAGGCAGTATCATCAGAAGACATAGCATACATTTTCACCCAGCTCTATCTGTCCATGAAGCCAGGTAACACACACTGGTATCTAACCAGATTCTTACTCTGGGTGGTGTTCACCTGTCTCACAGAGCCTTCACGGCCCATGAGGCCTCTGTGTTTTGTAGTTTTTGTCCAGCGCCACCCATCGTTCAAACAGCCTACTGTAATCAGCTCAGCGTGCAGATCGGAGAGAAGCATTTCACACATTTCAAAGACTTTTATTGTTTTAAACAACTCAAATGTCTGCAGAGGACACACAGCGTTTCTCTGAAAGCTGTGATGGAGCAAGAAGGACCATCCTCCGACCATGTTGCTGGTTTCACTGGGTTTTTATTTCTTTCAGGTTTGGTGTTTATGCTTTTCTATACTTTCAAACGTCTCATTCACTCTGCTGTCACTAATAAACAAGTGACCCGAAGACACGAGCAGCTGAAGTGTGCGCAGGAAACCGGGTCAGCACGGACTCGAGGAACCGTCAGTGAGCTGGACCTGCTGGACCTGCTGGACCTGCAGGCCTGCGGACGACAGCCGGGTTGGCAGGGCGTATCTGCAGTTAGTTCCCGTTTCCTCTCGCTGACCTGAACCTGCTTCTGCTTCCGGTTTGGATCTCCTGTCGAGCCCAACCCGGCACACGATTCAACATCCAGCAACTTCTGGAGACGAAGCTCAGCTTTCCCTCTGCGACATCCTCACGGACAGGAACCAGAGAACCCCGCGTCGATGGAGAACAGAAGAGCCTCAGAGCGAGGTCCTGACGTGATAACGGATCAAATCAAACGCTCCCGGCCTCTGAGCTGCTCCGATCTTCAAACACGTGAGGATGGCGGGTTGGACAGTGCTGGAGGCAGGTGAGGTCAAAGGTGTGCCACTTCACAGTGGAGGTTCATAAATAAAATCTAAATATGACGAAGAGCAAACTTTCCTGAATCAGCTTCATTCAAACTACGAACTCAACAGTTTATAATCACGGAAACGTTTCCAGTTCCCAATGTGATCACATGACATCCACAAAGAAGTCGCCGGGGTTTCCCATGGCCATGCGGAAGGACTGGCGGGAGGCGGAGACTCCAGGCTGGGCTGTTGGAAGGTCATGGTGCTGACCTCTAGATGACGGCAGGAGGTCTTCAAAGCAGCTCAGAGGTCGCTGGACAGGACTGTCACTGAGAGGCTCCGCCTCCAGACGCTTCTCAGGAGAGGCACTCGCTTCCTGTTTGGAGGCTCTCAATTCGCTCCCTCCTGCTCCTTCCTCCTGATTATCGCTGCAGTTCGAGCCGCTGCTACAGCTTCCTGTGAGGTCACAACAAACCATCATTACTTCAGACATCATGATGTCAGTCATTTCACAGCGACCATATTTGGACAAGAGCGGCCAGCTGATCAGTAACAGCCAATCAGAACCCACTGCGAGTGTTTGTACACGAGCATGTTTGTTACCTTCACTACATGGGCCTCCTCCTCCTCCAAGGGCCGGCAGCTGGTGGAGCGGGTGGGGGGAGCTGTAGGGGTGGGGGATGGGGTACTGGTAGGGGAAGGTGAGCTGGTCGCAGTCAGACCCTCGTGTGGAGGCTCCTTCCTGATCCATCAGTGACATCACAGCCATGTCTGAGGAGGAAGCACAGAGTCATGATCAGCGCAGCAGAAACCTCAAACTCACGCTCTTATTATGAAATGGTTTTAACTTCCTGCCCTCACCTCCGCAGAGGTCTCCGAACACATAATAGCACTGCTCGGAGAAGGTCACCTTGTTGACGGTGTGTCGGATGAACCCGGCCTTCAGCAGGTTGCTGGCATACTTGCGAGCCTCGCGTCGGTCAATGAAGCCATCCACGTTGCGGTGCAGCCAGTCCACCACGTCTGAACCTGCAGGGGCGGAGGGAGGCCGTCAAAGGTGAGGCACACATAACTTCCCGCTTTCCTAAAACCAGCCCTCGCTGCAGTCCAGCCACCAAAGCTCTGCGGGGATCCGAGGAACGTCCCTGGAACCAGAACCAGCTCTAACTGGTACTTGCTCGCTCTCCGAGCCTCGTGGAGTGAACGTCCTCACAGGGCGCCATTCATTGTCTGACGGCTCCTCGCTAGCACACTGTGGTTGCCTAGGTAACCCTCCAGCGTATTTACTACCAGTGTAGTATCCTCTCCGTACTCTTACGCTAGTACTGCTAGCTGCTGTCGCATCTGGAACTTCAAAGCTAACGTTAGTCTGGGTTCTCCAAAAAGTTGATTCTGTTCATCTGGACGTAGCGTTTTGTGGGAGAAACGTTTCGTCACTCATCCAGGTGACTTCTTCAGTCTTCTCTGAAGAAGTCACTTGGACCAACATTTTGGAGATTTACTTTCCTGGATGATTGAGAATGCATCAAGACGTTAGTCTGGGTTCAACATGGCCAGTGACCAATCACATTGTTGTGATGTCATAGCAATGTGGAAAAAAACCTGTTGCTGTCCCCTCGGGAAAAAAATCCCAAAAAGGGGGCAGTGCTGTTCCCATGGTCCAAAACAATGACATCACAACAACGTGACAGGTCACCTGCCATGTTGAACCCAGACCAACGTTAGCTTTGACGATTCAGGAACAACACCAACACGGGGATACCAGAGCGAGCGCCTGCTCCTACAGGGGAGTGTGGGTTCGGCCGGCGGCCACGTCCCGGTAAACCGCGCTGGCTCGCAGGCTAAACGAGCTGAGGGTACCACACAAAGGGCCACTGTGTGTGACGGACGTCATTCGTAGCTCTAACATTGGTGGTGTAAAAAGTCACAGAGTGGAGGGACGGTCTGGATCGGCTGAGGGCGGAGACCAGGTCAGAGCGAAGAGCGAGTACGTGAAGACGAGACGATGAGGTTTCCTAAGTGACTGAACCCACACATGATGGTCATCAGAGGTTAAAGGTCACGGTTCCAGGATTCAGACCAAAATATGAGCCGGACTTCTTACCGATAAAAGCGTTGGGGATGGTGATCTTCAGCCACATCCTGTCTCGGACCTCCAGGCCAGACTCGGGATTGGCCATCGCCTTGACAACCATGGTCATGTCACTGTGGATGTTGAGGTGGTTCTCCTCGTTCACGCCTGGAAAAAAGTAGCAGGTTAGCATCTGATGGACAGGTGACGGGAGGTGCAGAGGATGGTGGGTGTAATACCGTATAGTGGGAGGAGCCTCCCCGTCATGGCGGCGGTGTGAGACACCCAGGCAGCAGGGTCGATGGGACGGACTGGCTCGCCTGTGGAGATTTGGATGTGTCATGTAATCATTTTACTTTATGTAACACCTCTTGTGTGCCAAACAAATACCGACGATAACTCACTTCTCGGCAACGTGAAGCAGCCTCGCGGGTTCGGATCCCAACACTTTGCCACGGTTAGCGTCACCGGACTGAAAGGAAGATGACACAGATCGGTCATTATTCAAACTGTAACTTTATTCACACAGCAGCCTCTGACATGTACATAGACGGTGTCTTGGCAAGTTTTCAGGATTTGTCACACAAACTTGACCTCCCTCGTTCAGCTTATTTAGATACTTTCAAGTTCGCCACTTCCTTCAGCATCATAACCCTGACTTTCCAAATATAACTCCACTTATTGCTGTAGATGATCTGTTGAACCTGACATTTAAGCCTAAAGGTCTAATCTGAAGAACTAGTAATTGTATAGCCTCCTTTCAGAATAACAATGGCAAAGATCAAAGCGGACTGGGAGGATGAGCTGGGGGTGGACTTAGAGGAGGAGACCTGGGAGAGCGCTCTTTTAAGAGTAAACAACAGCACTTTCTGTGCCAAATTAAACATCATACAGTTCAGGATTCGACACCGCATTCATTACTCCAAGGCAAGACTGGCCAAAATATTTCCAAACATAGATGCAAGCTGTGAGAGATGAAGAAATCCCTCTGCAGATTTAACACGTGTTTTGGTCATGTCCAACTTTAAAAGCAATTTTCAAAACACTGTCTGAAGCATTGAATGTTGAGCTTCAACCCAATGCAGCTATGGGTATATTTGGTGCTAGAGATAGAGGACATGGAACATTAAGGAAGTCATAAAAACACAATCGCTTTCACTACACTGCTTGCAGCAGAAGGATATTGTTGCATTGAAAGTCAAAGAAGCCACCCAAAGCGGCTCTGTGGTTCAGTGACCTGTCACAGTTCATACAGCTGGAAAAGATAAGTACGCTCTCAAGGGGTCGAAGGAGAGATTCTTTGCTGTTTGGGATACATCGCTAAAACATTTAGAGAAAATTAAAACCATACCCACCTGATAGATGCTTGACAGCTGCCGTACATCCTTTTTCTGTGTGATTGTGATTAATTTTGTGCAAACTTCCCTTTAAGTGCACATCTTCAAATATGGTGAATTTCCTTGCACCTCATTTAAATTCACTTTTTTCATTTATGTATTTAAATTTTTCCCCTCTGGATCGCTGTCCAACATGTTCTTGGGGTGGGGTAGATATATAGAAGGAGCATTGTGGCCTTGCTACATGTATATCTTCGTACTACATTGTTGATGCTCAATAAAAAGAAAACAAACAAACTTCTCCTTCGGTTACACTCACCTCCACCCACCCCCCCTGCCTGCACTCTCCTCTTCACCTCTCTGTGGATGGTCAATCCCAGGTATTCAAAGTCCTCCACCATCACTACCTCTGCTCCCTCCACCTGTGCCCCTCTCGTTCGGATGGGGCGACCGTGTCTCAAGAGTTGGCAGTTCGTCTTGTAACCTGGAGTACTGCGCTTTGAGTACTCCAGGAGAGTAAAAACGCACTATATAAGAATCAGTCCATTTACCATATGCCTCCCCAGACCATCAGTGACGGCAGAGCACAGCCAATGACTGCCCAAAATATTCATTGTATGTGCACAATGACAATAAAAGGCTATTCTATTTTATGTGATTCTATTCTCCCCATCACCAAACCCACCATACCCAGTATGAAATCATAACGTTCTCAGACCCCTTCACATCTGTCACATGTGCTCAGAGTGAACCTGCTCTCGTCTGTGGAAAGTTTGGGCACCATTGGTGGACCTGCCAATTATGGTATTCTATGGCTAATGCCTGTCGGGCTCCACGGTGCCGGGCAGTGAGCACAGGGTCCACTAGAGGACGTCGGGGCCTCAGACCCCCCTCGTTAGTCTGTTTCTGATTGTTTGGTCAGAGACATTCACACCAGTGTCCTGCTGGAGGTCTGTAGCTCTGAGGACGCTGTTCCTCCTTACAAAGAGGAGCATTTACCGGTCCTGCTGATGGGTTAAGGGCCTTCTACGGCCCTGTCCACCCATAACTGCCCATCTCTCTGCATGGTCCTGAGACCGTGCTGGGAGACACATCAAACCTTCTAGCAACGATACGTAGATGCCATCCAGGAGGAGTGCTGGGAAGGTTACTTTTAAAATGTATTCCACTACAGATTACAGATCACATGCCCCAAAATGTATTTTGTAACGTATTCTGAATACTTTGGATTACTTAATATCATGCTTTTTACAACTACATAAATGTCCTATTGCTGTGTGATTCATTACTGAAGGTTACTCTCCACACCAACACCAACTAGATGTTTAAATCTTAATATAAACGAGTAACAGCAGGTGGACATTAGGTAAGGCTGTACAGGCATTAGAGCCTCTCAATGAGCGTTTTATTTGGGTTTCCACTGGCATGAAATTACCAAAGATGGAGAGGGGACAGCCTAAGTTATGAAACAGGAAAAGACCGTTGTGTAATCCATTCATTTCAAGTAACTGTATTCTGAATACCACCTTTTTAAACAGTAACTGTAATGGATTTTTCTGATGTGAAATATGTGCCGTGGCTCCAAAAGATTGGCGAACACTAGCTCAGAGCACCTGCTGTTAATTTCATTCAGACCAAAGCAGCAGAATCGGATGAACCCCAACTCGGAGCTGACCGCTTTGACAGACTCCACGGTCTGGTTAAAGCGTTCCTTTGATGCAGCGTCTCCACTGCGACGCAGGAAAAACACCTGAGCTCCCGCACGGATTCATTTGTCAGATAAATCAAAGCTGACTTTAAACCACGTGATCGGCCTTGGTTACCATGGCGAACTTACGGATGAAGCAAAAGGTCTCACCCCGGTTTGTGGACGATCTCTCGGAGGACTCGGACGGCGTCGTCGTTGCTCATGTTCTCGAAGTTGATGTCGTTCACCTGACGGACACACATACGACACAGCATCGTGAGCCTTCTCACCACCACCTTTAAAACAGGAAGCGGATTAAACGGCATGAGCGGCACCTGCAGCAGCATGTCTCCCGGCTCGATGCGTCCATCCGCCGCCACCGCTCCGCCCTTCATGATGGAGCCGATGTAAATGCCTCCGTCCCCTCTGTCGTTACTCTGACCGACAATACTGATGCCCAGGAAGTTGTACCTCTCTGACAGACAGGCAGGCACACAGCAGGGTTACCCTGAGCTCTGCTGCTACGTGCAAACATCCCTGTCACTGCGAGCTAACAGCCGCTCCATAATAACTCTAGCTTCTTAAACCTGCGTTCTCTCTAATGTCCTGCAGGAGGCGACTTCTGACTGTGCTCCTGCATGAGCGTGCTGCTCAGCTCGTGCTTTCAGCTGTGACTGAACAAGCAGCAAGTTACTTTTGGTCCAGTTGGAGTTTCAGAGAAACAGGAAGCAGGGGAGGGTTTAGGGCGGGGCTACGGTGTGATCGGCAGCAGCGCTCACCCGTACTGAAGCGTACTCACCCATGTTGAGAGTTACAGTGATGATGTTGAGCGACATGGTGGAGTCAGTGACACTGCTGAAAGACACAGACTGACAGACAGACGGACAGAGAGAGGAGACAGTTACAGACGGACGGACAGACAGACAGTAGAGGAAGGTGAAGGACGGCCCCCTCAGACAGGAAGTTCATCAGGTAACGTCACTGACAGAGTCCACAGGTGTCCGCAGTCCTGAGTCAGCTGACCGACTCATCAGCGGCACCTGCTGTCAGCCTGGACCAGTCACATGACTGACTCTGACCTCCGTGAGCTCAAAGGTCAGACGGCTTTGGTCACAAAGACCGCCCACATTAAAGCACCTGCGTGTGCGCACAGGTACGAGGAGGCAAAAACCAGCCTGCAGATGTGAGTAGAACCGCTGCATTAGAATTCAGTAGAAAAGACTTTCACTGAAGTTGGTTTGTCACCTGACCTGTGAGGATTAACAAATCACCTGAGAGCAGGAATGTTGTCACCATGGTAACCAACGCACGAGACCCCACAGGCCTCCACACAGTGACCCTGTCCATTGTTGGTCCGTCTGTCTGACCTTTGAACCCTGCACACTCCCACAGGTCGCCTGAAAACTCACATCTGTTTCCTGTGCAGCGCCGCCACAGCTGAGGAGGCGCCGATGGCCTCCGACCAATCAAGTCGTTTGTTACAGGAAAAAATAGGAAGTGTCTGAACTCTGTCAATAACGCCATCTGATGTCAGTGTGCGTGCGTGTGTGTGTTTACCCTCTCCATCCGCTGTGTTTTGGGTTTCCGGTGGCGGCGGCGTTGACGCCTGATGAGACGCGGTGAGGAGCTGCTCTGCTCTGTTGATTGGCTGAACCTGAAATGATGTCACAGAGGGAAGCACACCTGGTTCAGTCCGACTGACTTCACAGCTTACAGATACCTGTGTGGTTGGGCGTGGTCACTCAGTCGGGAAAAATTAAAGACAAAATGTAAATATTTGTACAAACAAACAGGAAAAAAAGCTCGATGTGTTGAAGGAAAGCGGACGCACGAACCCACGCGCCTTCACTGAGATCTGTTGTGTCTTGTTTGTTGTCTCGGCTCCTCTCTCAGTCCCCTGTTTCCCCCTTTATGTGTATATGTGTTTGTGTGTATCCCGAATGCTGGCTTAGGAACGTCATCGGGAAGCTGAAGCTGGCCACGCCTGCTGTACATCGAGCCTCGCTGGCTGAGCTTCAGTCGGCTCTCGGGGGGAAACGTTTCCTCGCCAAACTAATTTCTTTGTCTGGTCAGGATGTGGGAAACGAGCGTGTCACGACTCACGCCACAGAGCATCACCGCTGTGCCGAGGGTATCACTTTGTTACCTTCACTGGACATAAACTCACTGTCTGTTTTTGGAAACGTCCGAAAGGTCTGATTTTATGTTAATAAAATGAATAAAAGGAAGTGAGACTAAAAGTCGTCGCTGTCATTTATTATTATCATCAATATTAAAAATTATTGATGAAAGTTTAACAACAGTCATCAAAATAAACATCATTTGTTCACAGATTAAGTCCAAATAAATACATGATTATTTTTATCACTATGATCATTAAAAGAAAGGTGACATGCACATACCTGTGAGCGATGTTTCATAAATATGTTGCGAGGCTCAAATTTAAAACTAAAAAAAATCTAAAATCCAGAGAAAACCTGCAAAAACGGACGGACAGAGGCGGGAACACATTATTTCTGCTCGTGGATGAGCTGGGACGCTTTTATCTGCGGGACAATACAGACTGCAGCGCTAGTCACCTGACCTGCAGCAGCCAATCAGAGCAGGAGAAGGAGAGCGGCGTGTGAACAGGATTACTGGAGCAGAAGAAGCAGACCCAAGGGCGGCGAGTGCATGTCATAGCAAACCCACCAATCACAGCGAGGTCTGCTGATGATGTCATGAGCTTACCTTACATACTTAAAGCAGAGGGAAAGTGTTAACCTGCTGATTATGAGCATCATCGAGAGGTCAGAGTTCACTGAGGGTCCTCACAGGTACAGGTAGGCGTGTCTGTGAGTGAGACTGACCTTCCTCCTGAGTCTTCCTCAGAGGAGCAGAAACTGGTTGTTTCCAGTTCGCTGCTCTGCTGGGTCGATGAACTGTCGCCGCCACCTGTTGGCTCCACCCCCCTCTTATCAGCTGGGCAGTGGGCGTGGCCATTCAGGCGATCACCTGTAGAGACCACAGCCAATCAGCAGATGGCAGGAAATGCCTGTCACTGTTTAATAGGTGTGCAGGTGACACCTCTCTCTCTCTGCATCTTACCTTGCTCACCCACATCTTTCCTCTGCAGCCTCTCTGAAACAGCAGGTTTGACCTCTGACCCCTGCAACTCATCATGGCTCACAGTGGCAGCACTGAGACAGACATGACATCACTTCCTGTCAGCATTGAGGCCTGCACTACAACACGTGTTGCATTCTGGGCCCCGGTGTACTCACTGGAAGGATGGCGGTCTGGAGTCTCCGATACCACCTGTCCTCTCTATAGGGGGCGGGGCTAAATTGGTGGGCGTGACCACAGACTGGACATCTGAACCTCTGAAATCCAGCTGGCAGGTGTCTGATGACACCAACTGCAAGGAGAGACATGATGAACACCTGAAGGCTCAGGACACACCTGTGTGTGTGTTTGTGTGCGAGTTGTGCCTGTTTACCACCACTGTGAGGACACAAATTACAACTGACATTGTGGGGACAAAGAATTTTCTGTAATAAAGGTTTAAGAGTGGGGAAGCTTCTAATTAGAATCCATTCAGTGTCTTCCAGTTATCCAATAAATAACACAACAAAATGTGTTTTCAGTCTTTTAATGTGACTGAAAAAAGCTGTTGTGTGCCTGCAGGTGTGCCTGCAGGTGTGCATGCAGGTGTGTGCTTTGGCTGACTGTGTCGTTTTGAGACAAAGGAACGATTTTAGAGTTTGTCCTCAATCATCGTCAACAGTCCTCATAAACTCAGCTGTACCATGTTCGTGTGTTACTGACCCAACAGACGACCCGTCCGTTCACACAGGGCAGCCTGGCGTCATCATCGCTGATCTCCTCTTTGACCACCCTGTAACACATCAGGATTAGCCATGAAAGAAAATTAAACATAAGTACTCTAAAAATATCTAATAGCACATGTGGGCATATCAGGTAGACAAAAGCCACACCCACCTGCTATCAAAACCTCATATTTGTGAGGGGCAGCCAATTAGAAGGAGAGAGATGCAAACAAACTGGACTAACATCACGACAACAACGCTGAGGGTCTAAAGTGGGCGGTGTTATGGTTGCTACATACATCTCATATTCACAATCTGAGTATTACTGCAGCTGTGGCGGGGACACAAACCCCGCCGGGTGTTCTCCTCCTCTTTGTTACACTCAGAGTCACAGATCAATACTGAGCAGAACGATCGATCATCGCAGCATCAGCTGAGAGGGGTCACACACATGTGCTGGTCTGCCTATCTTTGTGAGGACACAGTCACAGACACCATCCCCCAAACCTGAACCTGGTTATAATCCGAGCCCTGAAACCAGCTCTGCATCTCCACGCAGCCGTACAGTCTGTCATAAAAGCCCTGTGTGTGTGTGTGTGTGTGTGTGTGTGTGTGTGTGTGTGTGTGTGTGTGTGTGTGTGTGTGTGTGTGAGATTATAGAAGCTCAGATTATTAAACAGTTGTTTCATCAGCGGTTCAGAGTAAATGAGTGAATAAAAATGAGGAGAGCTCAAACTGAAGCACAGGCTGGACTGCTGGACACACAGCAGTGTGTAACTGCACAGACTGTGACCTGTGTGTGCAGAAGGGTTTACAACCACACAAATACAAAGACGAGTTTGAGGCGTGGAACCTGCTGCAGCGTGCCCACGTCACAGCGCCGCTCCATAAAAGCTCTTTCACGTGAAAACAGCAAAAACCAGAGTAAGTGAAACGTGCAGAAGGAGCCCCGGAGCGCCACCCTCAGACCGGAGGGCGGGAACATGTTGGGGAGCCCGATGTCACGGGGACGCCACAGATGTGAACAGATTTGAAAGTGGGTGGATGAAGCGGAGCAACATGTTCTCCAGAGAACTTCCTGTCAGGAAGAACCACCCAGTCTCCGCCTTGTCCACCACAGCTGCTGCACACGTGCGGTACAGCGGACTTGCCCACCTTTGACCCCGAGGCCACAGGTGCAGCATCGGGTGGAGCAGCTCAGCACCAGGCTCCGACCGGGCTCTGCTGCTGCCACCTTAAGGTTTCTCCAAGTGTAGGACTGCAAAGAGGGCGGAGCACCCCCGATGGCACCAAAGGCGTGGCTCCAGGCTGACCTCTGACCTCAAGCTCTGAGGGGACAACACCTGTTCCACCTGGACAGGAGGCAGGTGGGGGGCGCTCCCTGTTAGGTGCCTGAGGTCCTGCTGCTGCTGCTGAGGGTCAGCTTCAGCTGCTCCACCCTGACATGCGCAGGAGGGTGATTGTACCTTAAGAATAACAAACATCGCGTGACGGGAACAATACACTCACCCGACCACGGATCAATGAGCGCACGGACCACGTGACTCACCCGAAGTCGTCGTCCACGGACTTGAAGAAAAATTTCACGTTGGGTTTGTTCAGCACGTGCTTAAAGTCCGCCAGGGTCACGCGCTCCGCGGGCGCGTTGATGCGGACGAGGTAGGGGGTGTCCTGGTCCTCCAGGTGGTAGATGACGCGGGTCTCCTCCGCCATGCCCGCGAGCCCGGCTTGGCGGTCACGGGATGACGCTGAGGAGACACAGCTGTGCACCTGTCCGCGCGCCCGCGCTCCGTTCGTGCGCGTCTCCGCTCCAGAGATTTCGCTCTCGGTCCAGATGTGTCGGTCCAGCTTCTGCGTGTCTGATGCTCCGTCTCCTCCCGACGCCGTCAACACACACACACACGCACGAACACACTTCCGCTCGGACCCTTCAGAATAAGAGCTGAATGAACACAGGCAAAAATAAAAAGAATATCTGGACTCTGAGAAATGATGACACACACACACCTGCACGTTATTACGTCACAACGTCAGAGGTTCAGTCTCCACGTTAAAGGTCATGTTTCTTTTGGGGCTTTTTGTTCTTAATCAGTTTTATTTATTAATTATATGTTATGTAGTTATTTTATCTTATTTTTTAAATTACGTTTACCAATTTATTTTGTAGGTCCGCATATTCAAACTCCCTGAAGGTACAGAACAAATGTCCTCGACCCAGAAACGCTTTTCTTTTTCCCGCCGTCCTGGTTGTGACGTCACGTCCCTCACCTGTATCCGGGCTGAATTCATGAGCTCACAGCAGAATCCAACCCCTGAATAAACTCGAGCCCGTGACGAGTTTCCGGCTTCCGCTGCTCGGACGAGATCAAACGAACCGCTGAATCATCCTGTAACGGACCGCTCCTCCAGCTTTTATTGTGAACGGAAGGCCTCAGAGCTTCCGGCACTTATGCCCCTTCAAGCTAACGCCTAACACGTCCGACTTTTCCGGCCTGATCTGAGAGTGAAAGCACCCATAGAGACAATCATTTTATTGTAAATCAAACACGTGATCAAACAGGAAACAGTTTCAGTTATTGACACGCTAATTCATGAATATAAATAAAAGATGCATTCATTCGGTTCTGAATTTTCTCCATGGATTCGGATTGGATATCGGTGTTTATTAAAGGGTCAGCAGTTCATAAAAACAAACGTCCATAAAACAGTAAAAACAAACAGGCAACACGAGCTCGCCCGTCAGAGGTCAGGTAAACATGAGGTTATCTTCAACATTCAGAGAGCGAGGAGGCGTTCAGTGTCGGTGGGACGTTTCAGAGCCAGGACAGACAGAAGGCCGCGTGTCCCCAGCTGCACGAAGGCAGCGTTAAGGTGATCTGCTGGTGTTCTGAGGTCCTTCAGGTGAGTCCACACAAGCGGAGGTAGAGTTTAAACACTGTCACAGAGGCTCCGCCCACACAGTGATGGGGGCAGAGACTTCAACAAGGCAAAGGCACTCACGGCGAAACCAACCAGCAGTGAGCGCACGGGCAGAGAACGAGCGTAAGGCTGAAATGTTTTTCTCACTGAATCATCAGCAAGCATGGCGTCTCCGTCCCTGCCCGGTCGAACTCCGCCCACACAGCCTAGTCGCTGAGCGAGTTAGCACGAACGCAACCTAATTACACGACACCGCTCTGGTGGCGCGTTTCTGCCAGAAGCTGAGAAGAACGACCTGACCTCTGCTCTGTCGTCAGTCGCATAAAAACACTCTAGGGTCCAACCAGGGCCCTCCTCGGGGGCGCCAGACACAGGTCAAGCTTTCAAGCAGTGACCTTTGACCCACATCAACCCTTTTAAAACATCTGGAGTGAGGCTTCCTGTTGATTGTTTCTACTTCCTGTAGTCCGGGCATCACGCCGAGACGTTGACATCACGCAGAGCAATGGTGGCAGTTGTCCCGGTGGCTCCGCCAGGGGAGGCAGTCGCCACGGCAGCGGTTGGCTCCTGCGGGGGGGTGGAGCCGGAGGAGGGAGGCAGAGCGGAGCCATTCTGATTGGTCGAGCTGGTCTGGAACAGGATTTGCTGCAGCGTGCGTCTGAGGTTCGGGTGCAGCCGCCGCTGTGTCTGGTAGAAGATCTCCACGGCAACACACTTCATCACCCCAGCAACCAGGTCCTCATACAGCGGCACTGTGTACATCCTGGACGTCTGCGGAGAGGGAGGGGCAAACATGTGACAGAGTAGCTGAGCGACCCCCTTAAAACTATGTCTGTTCTGATCGGCTCAACGTCGCAACAGGCAGGTGGGCGGAACTTACGTGTTTGTGCAGGAAGGCTCGCACTCGCGGCAGGTCGGGGTAGAAGCTGTTCCTCACCACCATCTGCAGCCAGCGGATCTGCACCTCGGCGTTCAGCCCGTCGAACAGCGACGAGTACGAGTCCGACAGGCTCGCCATCACACCTGCGCAGTGACATCATCATTCATCACTGAACCTTCAGTGGACACCTGTCACATCACTTCCTGTGTTCTGCGCGGTGAGGAACATCAAGGCAGTTTCTCAACATCTGTACTTGTGCTCCGGCATCAGTCGCAGTACTGTTCCCGTCAAAGTAACAAATCTAACATCAAAATATTTAAATTCAGGAGGAAGCAGTTTCACCGGGAGCAGAAACGGCGTGCTGATGCGTGGAGATCCTGAACGCTGCTCCAACAATGATCTGATTATTTGTTCCAAACCAGCTGTCTGCCCTGAGTGTTTACTAACGCTATGTTGATTGGGAGACACGTGTCATGTAGTGATCGTGCTTCACTGTATGAAACTGATGATCCGTCAAAGTGCTGAAGATACTTTTTGAAATATCTTTTTCCTGAAGTAAATCTGCTGCATCATGTGTAACAGTTAAATTAAGAGGGGGTGGAGCTGTGATGTCATCACGTACACTGCCGTTCCAATAGCAGAACGATCGCGCTGCGTTCTCGGGAAGTCCGAACTCCCGTGTGAACTTACGGAGTCCAGACTAGCGAGGACGTCAGTACAGACGTGAGTACTGAGAAACGGCCCACGTCCTCGTCACCAACCATTTGCAGCAAACAGGATGTCACATGACCCCTTTCATCAGTACTCGTATGTTTCATGCTGCGGAGTACAAATACTCGAGTACTTTGCACTCGAGCAGATTATTGCAGGCTCTGAATGATGTGTTGCAGTGTTTCTACAGCAACTTACTGTGCAGCAGCGGCGAGTGGTCCAGCATGCGGTCCAGGAAAAGGACGATCTGAAAGGTGCTCCAGGTCGAGAGGTCAAAGGTCGCGAGCGCCTCTAGGTCAGGGGGGTCAGCGTTCCTCCACAGGTCGCACAGATCCTGGACGGGCCCGATAAGAGCGCCGCCCGCTGACAGGTCTGGCTCGTAGAGAGGCGGGCCGCAGCCGCTCAGCCAACGCTCAAACTCTAGACCTGAGGACGAGCATACACACAGGAAGTGATGTCACAGAGAAGACTAGGAGGCTGCTGATGAGGTGAGCTGAAAGTGTCTCCTGACCTTCTCTCTTAGCGACGGCGGCATCCTTCAGCTCCGGGAAGTAAGACAGGAAGTAGTCTATGAGGTCCTGAGCCACCACGCTCTTAAACTTAAACTCTGAGATGTAATCCTGTGACACACACACGATGCAAACGCTGGTCACATGACTCTGAGCAGCATGTAAAACATCCTGATGAAATGTAAATCTATGGAAACGTGGAGCAGAAGTATGTGGACGCTGTGACTGTGAAAGCGACTCAGCTGCTGTCCACAAACAAACTGTCACTGCTCGAACACACGTGACACATGTATGACTCCAGTGTGTGTGACTGTGTGACTATGTGACTGTGTGTGTGACTGTGTGTGTGACTGTGTGTGTGTGTGACTGTGTGTGTGTGTCACTGTGTGTGTGTGTGACTGCGTGTGTGCGTGTGTGTGTGTGACTGTGTGTGTGTGTGTGTGTGACTGTGTGACTGCGTGTGTGCGTGTGTGTGTGTGACTGTGTGTGTGTGTCTGTGTGTCTGTGTGAGTGTGTGTGTGTGTGACTGTGTGACTGTGTGTGTGTGTGACTGTGTGTGTGTGTCACTGTGTGTGTGTGTGACTGTGTGTGTCTGTGTGTGTGTGTGACTGTGTGTGTGTCTGTGTGTGTCTGTGTGTGACTGTGTGTGTGTGACTGTGTGTCTGTGTGTCACTGCGTGTGTGTGTGACTGTGTGTGTGTGTGTGTGTCTGTGTCACTGTGTGTGTGTGTGTGTGACTGTGTGACTGTGTGTGTGACTGTGTGTCTGTGTCACTGTGTGTGTGTGTGTGTGACTGTGTGTGTGTGACTGTGTGTGTGTGTCACTGTGTCACTGTGTGTGTGTGTGTGTGTCTGTGTGTGTGTGTGTCTGTGTCACTGTGTGTGTGTCTGTGTCTGTGTGTCTGTGTCACTGTGTGTGTGTGTGTGTCACTGTGTCTGTGTCACTGTCTGTGTCACTGTCTGTGTGTGTCTGTGTCACTGTGTGTGTGTGACTGTGTCTGTGTGTCTGTGTCACTGTGTGTGTGTGACTGTGTCACTGTGTCACTGTGTGTGTGTGTGTCACTGTGTGTGTGTCTGTGTGTGTGTGTCACTGTGTGTGTGTGTGTGTCTGTGTCACTGTGTGTGTGTGTGTGTGTCTGTGTGTGTCACTGTGTGTCTGTGTCACTGTGTGTGTGTGTGTGTCTGTGTCACTGTGTGTGTCTGTGTGTGTCTGTGTCACTGTGCGTGTCTGACTGTGACTGTGTGTGTGTGTGTCACTGTGTGTCTGTGTCACTGTGTGTGTGTCTGTGTCACTGTGTCACTGTGTGTGTGTGTGTCTGTGTCACTGTGTGTGTGTCTGTGTGTCTGTGTCACTGTGTGTGTGTCTGTGTCTGTGTCACTGTGTCACTGTGTGTGTGTGTGTCTGTGTCACTGTGTGTGTGTCTGTGTCACTGTGTGTGTGTGTGTGTGTGTCTGTGTGTCTGTGTCACTGTGTGTGTGTGACTGTGTGTGTGTGACTGTGTGTCTGTGTCACTGTGTGTGTGTGACTGTGTGTCTGTGTCACTGTGTGTCTGTGTGTGTGTGCGTGTGCGTGTCTGTGTCACTGTGTGTCTGTGTCTGTGTGTCTGTGTCACTGTGTGTGTGACTGTGTGTCTGTGTCACTGTGTGTGTGTGTGTGTGTGTGTGTCACTGTGTGTCTGTGTGTGTGTGTGTGTGCTGACCCTGAGGAAACAGTCGAAGCGTCTCACGTCTCCGCTGATCTCCGACAGATACGACACGAAGCAGAAACCTTTCTCGTAGGTGAACAGGTTCATCAGCGTGCTGGGGTTCACACCTGGAACAGGTCACAGTGATGTCATCTCACCTGTGCGAGTGGACACCACACCTCCATCTGTGTGTGTGTGTGTGGGTGGGGGTCACCTGACTCAAACTTGACCTGCAGCCTGCTCACGGGGTTGCTGTCTCCAAGGAGACGCAGCTGTCTGTGGAGGGCGTCCAATCGCACAACAGTCTCCAGGCAGGTGAACGGCTCACCTGAGGGCGACAGGTAACCCGAGGTGACCAAAAGTATGTGGACTGAGGCTGAAGTCGTGTTTACTTTAAAAATCAATAATCAGCTGTTCGTGACTTCAGGTTCAAACACGTAAAACTGAAAATGTTTTAAAATCTCGCCAACAAAAACGTAAATTCTGAAACGGTGAACGCAGCGTTACCGTAGGCCTCCGTGGTGATCCTTCGCTGGGCGTACGTCGCCAGGCCTTCGCTCAGCCACATCTCCTCCCAGGTGGCGTTGGTGACGGCGTTGCCGAACCAGCCGTGGGCGATCTCGTGGATGACGTCAATCAGCAGGAACTCGCTGCTCTCCAGGATGGAGGCGATGATGAACGTGAGGCAGGGGTTCTCCATGGCGACGATGGGGAAGGAGGGAGGGAGGAAGACGATG